ACCAGGTTTTATTATCCCTATCTTTTGATGAAGACCTTGGGAAGCCTGAACCTTCAGATACAGATAATAAAACCAACTCCAAAAAATCTAAGACAAAGAACTTTAAGGAGTTGAATCATGCCTCAGAGAATATAATGAGAAAAAAAGAACTAGGCAAGAAATGATGTCAAAGACAAGAGAGCAGGTATTTACTCAGTAAAGGAATGGTTGTGTTTCTTCTTTAGTTTCATTTTGTTCATAAATTTCATGTTTTCACATATCAATGCAGAACTGAAGGCCATGTGATTCATTTGATATTCAGGAGAACACGCAGACACCTTTTCCTAAGGGATGACGATGAAGGGAAGCCTCCATTACTTAGACGCATGGTGGAAGATGATGGTGAATTTCGTGAATAGCTAATGATACAAACAGTATGTTATCTTATTTCGTTTATTTGGAGTGCTTATTTCCTAGTGTTTATGTATGATTTGATCATTAGAACGTTGTGATTATTTAGACTTGAATTGGTTCGTGGAATTGTTTTTTGTAGTATTATGACTTGGATGATAATTAGAATTGGTCATGGAAGTATTTAGACTTGTTATTTTGAACCTTATTAGCTTGTGCAAAATTATGTAACTACACTTTGTCATGGTGAATGGATAAATTGATTTTTTTGTATGAGTAAAATTTAAGCAGGTTAAAAACGGTTAAAAACCGTTGAGATAACGGTTTTTAACTGTTGTCTATTTTACAATAGACAACAGTTTATGGGCGTGACTTTTAACAACAGCGATTTCAACAACACACAATAGACAACAGTTTATAACTGTTGTCTTTTAAAGAAAAGACAACAGTTAAAAACTGTTGTCTATGTGCATCACTTTTAACAACACCGGTTTTAACAACATTGAATTGACAACGGGTCAAAAACCGTTGTCTTTGGAAGAAATGACAACGGTTTAAAACCGTTGTCTATGTGCGTGACTTTTAACAACACCGGTTTCAACAACACTTAATAGACAACGGTTAAAAAACCGTTGTTGTTTCTAGAAAAGACAACGGTTATTAACCGTTGTCTATGTGCGTGACATACAACAACACCGGCTTCAACAACACTTAATAGACAACGGTTAAAAAACCGTTGTTGTTTCTAAAAAAGACAACGGTTATTAACCGTTGTCTATGTGCGTGACATACAACAACACCGGCTTCAACAACAGTTAATAGACAACGGTTAAAAAACTGTTGTTGTTTCTAGAAAAGACAACGGTTATTAACCGTTGTCTATATGCGTGACATACAACAACACCGGCTTCAACAACACTTAATAGACAACGGTTAAAAAACCGTTGTTGTTTCTAGAAAAGACAACGGTTATTAACCGTTGTCTATTTGCGTGACTTACAACAACACCGGCTTCAACAACACTTAATAGACAACGGTTAAAAAACCGTTGTTGTTTCTAGAAAAGACAACGGTTAAAAAACCGTTGTCTATGCGCGGGACTTACAACAACACCGGCTTCAACAACAGAAATTATACCCCTACGACAACGGTTATTAACCGTTGTCTATGTGCATTTTTCTTGTAGTGTTTCCTTTTATATTTTCAGTCAATTACTAATATTATATTCATTTTCAGCCAATTATTTTTTTCAGTCAATTAGAATATCAGATGTAGTGATATTTTTACCCAATTTTCATTCCATTTTTAATTGATGATGTAGAATATTATTATTGAAATATTTCCGTTTCATTTTTAATTTCGTTGCATTTTTAATTTACCTTTACTATTATTTTAAATATGCATTTCCTATTGATGTTGAAATATTTCCTTTTCTTTTTTAATTTACCTTTATTTGATTATGTAGAATATTATTATTGAAATATTTTCATTATATTTTTAATTTTCGTTCTATTGTTTAAAATTGTGAAAGATTTATGACATAATTGTGATTTAATGTATTATATTGTGTAATATTATTGTGAAAATTAAAATGCAATGATCTGACCATTTTCTTTTTCCATTTTAGTCAATTGTGGATCATTTTTATTTTCAGTCAATTATTAATATTTATTTCATTTTCTGATTAACCTAATATCTCTTCATTTTTCCAATTTTGATTTTCAATCAATTATTAATATTCATTTTTTTTCCCAATTTACCTAATTTCCACTCCATTTTTAATTGATGATCTAGAATATTATTGTGAAATATTTTTGCTCCCTTTCAACCTTCGCTCAATCGGTCGTCAATCGTCGCGTACTCACTTCGTCGACAACTATGAGCTTCCCGTCGACTGAGGTCAGTCGCCGGTAGCCGGCTCTATCTTCTCCCTTGAATTTATGTCGTTTTATAGGGTAAATCGACGACTTGAAATAGTTATTGAAATAGTACATATTTGAGATTGAACATAAAATTATAATTAAATCTGCCATTTGTCTGTGGTCTTTTGCTTCGGAACTACTTACTTAAAATTAGAATATATATTAGCATATTGAGTGTAATCTATTTAGCATATTTAAAATGTTATTTATTCAATTGACTCATTTATGAATTTGTTTTAAAAATTCTGTGTAATATTAGCATAATATTATGTCCATAATTAATTAGTCTATATTCTGGCATATTCTTTTACGGTGTGTATTAGCATAATTAATTATTCCATAGACTAAATATTTTAAAACTAATTTAATCATTGAGAATTGTCAAGTACTACATAATTATAATTACAATATTCATTACCATATTTTAAATATTTTTTATTCAATTGACTCATTAATAAATTGGTCCCATAAATTCCGTTTAATATAACCATAATAATATGTCCATAATTAAATAGTATATATTGTGCCTTATTCTTCTACATTATGTATTATCATAATTAATTATTTTAGAATGTAATTATTTTTTACTCAATTGACTCATTTAAAATTATCAGGTACTACATACTTATAATTAGAATAGTTATTAACATATTTAAAATATTATTTATTGAATTGACTAATTTATGAATTGGATGAAAAAAAATTCCATGTAATAGTAACGTATATTAGTTTCCAAAAATAGTTAGTCTATATTCTACCATATTATTCTACAATGTCTATTAGCATAATTAATTATTCAATAATCTTAATATTTTTTATTCAATTGAGTCATTTACATTATCCGAAACTACATATTTATAATTAGAATATATATTACCTAATTTTAAATATTGTTTATTCAATTGACTCATTTATGAATTGGGTCAAAGCATTCAGTGTAATAATACTAAAGTAATTAATATTCCCATAATTAATTACTGTATATCCTGGCATATTCTTCTACCATTTGTATTAGCATAATTAATTATTCCATAATCTAAATATTTTTAAACCAATTGATTCATTTAAAATTATCCAGTACTACATACTTATAATTAGAATATTCATTACCATATTGAAAATATTTTGTATTCAATTGACTCATTTATTAATTGGTTGAAAAAAATTCGTATAATATTAGAATATATATATTTCCATAATTAAGTAGTTTATATTCTACCATATTCTTCTACAATGTATATTACCGTAATTAATTATTTTATAGTGTATATATTTTTTATTCAATTGACTAAAATTTTAAATTATCCGAAACTACTTACTTATAAATAGCATATATTATCTAATTTAAAATATTTTTTATTCAATTGACTAATTTATCATTTGGGTCAAAAAATTCCATGTAATATTACTAAACTAATTAATATTTTCATAATTCATTAGTCAACTAATTAATATTTTCATAATTAATTAGTCTATATTGTGCCATATTCTTGTACAATGTCTATTACGATAATTAATTATTCTAAAGTCAAAATATTTTTTATTAGCATAATTAATTATTGAGTTAATACCCAAAATCGTCCTCGACTATAGTGGTTTTTCTCAATTTTGTTCTAAACGACTTTGGTGACCTAATATCGTCCCAGACTTTTGTGTTTCGCTCAATTTAGTCCTTCATTTGTTATTCCGTCAAATTGGTGTTAAATTAAGGGACAATTCAATAATGTCAATATTGATATCTCTTTACTTTCAACTTGTGAAGTCCTCTTTCTTGTACGAATTACACCCAGAATTACTCCCGAACCTGCAAATCAAATTTTATATTCGCAGTTTTAGGAGTAATTCGTAAAAAAAAAGGGATTTCGCAGTTCACATGTCTATGAGTAAAGAGATGCCAATATTAAAATTACTGAAATGTCTATTTTTTTAACACCAAATGGACAGAATAACAAATGAGGGACTAAATTGAGCAAAAACACAAAAGTCTGGAACTAAATTGAGCGAAACACAAAAGTCTGGGACGATATTAGGTCACCAAAGTCGTTTAGGACGAAATTGAGAAAAACCACTATAGTCGAGGACAATTTTGGGTATTAACTCACTAATTATTCTATAGTGTTTACATTTTTAAACGAATTGACTCCTTTAAAATTATCCGATAGTGCATACTTATAATTTGTATATTCATTACCTTAGTTTCACTGGACTCATTTATGAATTGGTTAAACAAATTCTGTGTAAATTATTTATTACATTTTTTTATTAAATTATGTTAATATAAGAAGTGGAAAATTAGTGAATAAGTTATAAGGTACATAAAATTATTGAAATAAATTTGTGAATTAGTTATAAGGTACTTAAATTAAAACTGGTAAAATCGGAACTATATTCCTAAAATTGTATTCTTAAATTATTAAATAAACTATATAAATATAAATTAAATTTGATTAAATTTTTAAATCATAAGAGGATGATCTTAATTCGCAAAATAAAAATATAGTGCACGTTTGGAGAATGAAGGAAAACCTCTCTGGCCAACGGTCGACTGAAGATTACGATCTTTTTAAAAGGAATACGAAGAAGCCGAAACACACCGACGAAGGGGAGATGAACCGATCATCAGATGCGATGGAGGAAGGGTAACACCAGGCGTTTGAGGAGATCGTCAGAGAAACACCGATCGAGGAGATGCCCATGCAGGTAGCCGACGAGACGAATCCAGAGATGTCGCTAACGATCCCTGTTTCTCTACAAGTACCGACGCCACAACCTTGGACATACGCTGAATGTGTGACAAGCTTAGCAGCCCCGCTTAGGAATCTTGCCGCAAGCAATGTAGAGGAGGCCCCAGTGGATGTCTCTAATGATGAAGATGACGACCCATTGTGCCCTACCATCCAGCTGACGAAAGAAGAAGTGGAGGCGATCCGGGCGCCGTGGAGGAAAGCTCTCATTATAAAGGTAATGGGAAGGAAGGTGGGATACACATACCTGCTAAAGCGGCTTCAGACTATGTGGATGCCGAGGGGGATTCTGGAGCTTATCGCCATCGACAATGATTACTACCTTGTTCGATTCGGCTCAGTGGATGACCTTGAATTTGCCATTTTTGAGGGTCCATGGATGGTGTTAGATCACTATTTAATAGTGAAGCCATGGATGCCTGATTTTGATCCAACCTCGGACACTACGGAGAAGGTATTGGTGTGGGTTAGGATCCCTTGCATCTCTGCGGAGTACTATAATATCATTTTCCTCCGAAAGTTAGGGAATAAGATCGGTAGGATGCTGCGTGTTGATCAAGCGACGAGCTTGGTGTCAAGGGGGCATTTCGCGAGGATCTGCGTTGAAGTAGACATGACAAAACCTTTGATATCGAAATTCAAATATAAAGACAAGGTAAGATCCGTGGCTTATGAGGGTATCCACTTGGTATGCTTCACCTGTGGCATTTATGGCCATGCGCCAGATGCATACCCGAAGATTACCAAAGCACCAGCGAAACAAGCAGGGGTAGTGGAAACTCGCCCAGATCAAGTTAGTGAGGCACCCTTTGGTGCATGGATGATTGCACCAGGGAGGAGATCAAGAGCAGGATTGAAGCAGTTGGAGAGGATCCAAAATGGAGCGGAGGAGGGAAGACATGGAGGAAACGCTAATCGAGAGGATGCTGGTCAGGCCTCCAGATTTGCCCCTTTGGCTGTATAGGGTGATGAAGAGGACACTAACAAGGAAGCAGTGGTGGAGACAGATACTAGGTTGTCGAGCGGTGCAAGGCGTTTAGGGAATAATGGGGGACAGACGAGGAAGGCGCAGGCTACAGCAGCGCAAGGAGGTAAGGTGAAGCGGCCGAATGTCATAGCTATTGAAAAACAGATCATCAACGAGCCAGACGAAGGAGGTGGGCAACAGACTAGACTGGGGGAGCTTTCACCAAACAGCCGCAGAGCTAATGTACCGTATAATAGCCGTTCGACGTGTGAGGAGGACCAGGTCCAAAAGACGGGTGATTGCACAGTATAGAGCAGGACATCTAGGAGGGCGACAGAGGAGGAAAAACACGTGGTAGTCCGGGGCTCGCGGGGTGGGGATCATATTCGCACCATGAGAGTAAATTACAAGCAGCAGGTTGGTGGAGGTCTGCCGCCTGATATCGAATGCTCGGGAGAACACCACTCTGATGAGCCAAACAACCTCGATGAAGATGGAAATGCCGTTATGGAGATGGATGAAGTGCTTGAAGAGATTCCTGGAGGGAATGGAGAAAAACGTGCTTAAGTGTTGGCTCGTGTTCGCGGTCTCGTTTTCCCGTGCCTGGAGTTGGTTTTTTCCCTTCCTTTTTTTCCTGTTTTAATGATTGCTTTAATATGGAATTGTCAGGGCGCTGGAGGGAGGAACTTCCAGCGAGTCCTCAAAACTCTGATTAAGACTCACAAACCGAACTTGATTGGTTTGGTGGAACCAAAGGTGTCGGGAGATCATGCTACCTCAATCTGTTCCAAGCTCGGCTACGACGACTGGGTCCGAGTAGAGGCAATCGGCTTTAGTGGGGGGATCTGGGTTCTTTGGAATAAGCCAATTGAGGTTACTGTGGAATACACTCACTCCCAGTTTATTTTGTTGCAGGTCAAAGAGAATGGCGGGGCACCTTGGAACTTTGCAGTAGTTTATGCAAGTCCGACTCAATACCTGCGACAACACTTGTGGAGCGAGCTGCAGGTAACTAAACGAAGCATTACTTACCCTTGGTTAGCAGCGGGTGATTTCAACACCGTTACGTGTTATGAAGAGATTCTGAACTATACAACTTACTCCTCGCATCGCAGCACTGAGTTCGTGGACGGGATTCACGGGAAGGGATGGTGGACCTGGGGTTTATTGGACCACGAATAACGTGGGTTAGAGGGTTAGACGCTACTTCTCGCAAAAGGGGCGGGGCTTGACAGAACAAATATTAATTCTTCATACCTGTGGGCAAATTGAGATTACGGACCTTAGCTTCAGAGGAAGATAGACGGTTTATTGGTTTTCAGAATGGATCGCAGACATCGGAGATGGGATTGCAAGGTTGTAAACAGCGGTTCATTTGAGATCAATATTTCGGCATAGTTTTTGTTGAAGTGTGGACACAATCCCATAGCAACTATAGTGGAAAGAACATTCCCAAGCTCAAGATATAGCATGCTTGATGAGTCGCAACTGAAGGCCAAGCGGTCCCGTTGTCGATCTTAGATGTCGTTGATCAAATTAATCAATACATGTGAGACATGAATACTGTAGAAGGACGCATATATTTAAGTTGTGACTGTTAGATATACAATAGTCTAACTATAATAAACCATAGTATACGAGAAACCTGACCTCGTATGATAGCGGAAGCGTAGCCGTGTTGATCTCCAGCCATAGTTGATGTTCCTGTTGTGTTGCCTCTTAACGGTAGACCGTTAGCCATGTTTTGCCTCAGACCTGACTCAGAACCCTAGATGGTGTATTGGTGTATACTGAGCGGTCTGAGTACCGTAACTGAATGTGCTAACAACAACCATCCTGTATCCCATTAATACAGGATTATATTAGGCACAGAGTTTGGTTGACTAACAACTACTAGTTATTAAGTCCAACCACACCACTTAATAAGCCTAGTCAACTTGCATCACTTAATTAAGGCCCTAATATATAATATCAATATATATTATAAGGGAAAAATCTTACATTCTCCCACTTGGTGCAAGTACTAGCACAACCTTCATCAAAGAACAAAACACACGAATCATAGTGATATGTCCTCTATTTAATCAGAGTAGTATCCATTATGGTCACATGCATTTTAATTCTCCAACTTAGGTCATTAATGAACAAACCCTATGTTTATTCTCGGTACCTTAAGGGATGTTTCTCAAAATACATTATGTGCACAACTGAAGGAGAAAACGCATCCAAATTGTACAAAAGAGTACACTGTATGATCTCTAAAACTTTATAAGCATGCCTTAAGTAGAGATCTCTTAATGTTAGCATAATGCTAACTATATTCCATGACCTCTTTATAAGTTAACTTTAAGTACTATCTCTAACAGCTAAGAGCTTGGAGTTGACACGTCTGTCACTCCCACTCATAAAAAATAGCCAAAAGATAGTCAAGTCACAGAAGCATTCCAATAACTTAGACAAAAAACCAAAGGTCTAAGTCCATAAATTTGGAATCTTAATCATACACCATAACTTCCCAAATAACTTCAATGTCCATTTTAAATGAACTGAACATAATGAGTCTTACTTTTATGTCCCACAAAATTGTTTTGAGCCTTACAAACCAAAATGACCCAGGATTAATTTTGAAGAAACTAAAGACTCTATTAATCACTGAAGAATTTATTAAATTATAATGCACCACAAGTTAAATGCTTTTGTTCTAATAAATTCCTTAATATTGTTGCACAACCGAATGTTCAATAATTTGAACTTATGAATTTATATAAACAAATACAAGATTAATACTTGTGGAATATTTTGGACTTATTGTTTAACATACAATCAAATTTAGGATGTATGAAGCCAATAATTAAATCCAAAAACTTTAGTGGAGTATCTTAATGATCCTTTTCTAAATGATCACTCCCACTGATTAAAATATTCTTCGGCAAAATTAATAAATGAACTTAATAATATACATACTCATAATTGATTTATTGTCCAACTAACAAATAAAGACATAATTCCCACCATTAGTTGGACATACTAAATAATCAATTTTTGGTTCCAATTAAAGTCCAACTAAATAATGAAGATATATTTCCCCACCATAGTTGGACATACTAAAAAAACAAAATACATCTTTCAAAACCAAGTTAGAATTTGGCTCAAAAGATACATTTTAACATTATTGGAATCCAAGAGGTATGTCAAATCACGTAACTTACTACAGTTAGTCCGAAGAACCGAGCAAGATTCGTGGATTAATTAATAAAAGTTGCTAAATTTTGGGAAGTGACTGAATACATGTTTTGCCAATGCAAACCATGAAACTTAGAATTATAATTGAACTGAATTTATAACACTAAGAAATTGTGATAAAATTATCATCTAATGGGTGGTGGGATTTATTGACATAAAACTTGCCTTTGGGCTAAAATTTTAACTCTATTAAATCCAATTAAGAAACCCTTATGATAATATTTTTCACAATTGCTAAAGACCCAGAAGAATCTAGTGACATAAAACTTGCCTGTGGGCTAAAGTTTTACTCAATTAGATCCAACTGAAAAATTTTATTTATGATGAAACTATTATCAAATGAGTTGAAGAATCAAATGACATAAAACTTGCCTGTAGGCTAAGGTTTTAGTCAATAAGATTCATTGCTATCATTATGATAAAAAACTTAAGAGATCATGTTCCTTTTCTTAATCCCCGTGGGCAAATTAAGAAATATGATCTAAAGTTTACATCATAAAATTAAACTTCATGATAGAACTTGAAATTATTTACAAATAACCATAAAGTAAATAAATTGATTTATTTCTATCGTTACTGATAAAACTACTAAACTACATTCTGATACATAATTGCCTGTGGGCTAAATTATGACCCTAGTCCAGTATTTCATCCTGATTAATCATACAAACATAACGAAATTGCCTGTGGGCTAAATTTCGTCATATTACATACAATTAATCACAAATGATATGTCTAATACTTTATGTGATAAAAATAAACCGCTTAATATATAATTTTAACAGATTAAGGATGCTGTGGCTACTCCAAAACCAAATTAAAATTATAAGATCACTAGAAAATTATCAAATTCTTGCCTAAACTTTATGTGATTAAAACTTAATAATCTTAGGTAGCTGAATATGCTGTAGCATTTCCTTAATTAACCAAGATTGAAAACTTAAGAGACTTCAGTAAATTAAAGATGCTTTGGCTATTCTTTAATGAACCGAAATCAAATCACATTGGCAAGAAATACTTAAAATTTTGACAAACAGATTATACCAGATTGTGATGGGAAAATCTAAATATACTCCAAGGAAAGGCGGTTAGAGACTAAGTCTCACTGAAAACCAATTCCTTAAGTAGAGTATCAATTTAAGGAGACTAGTGGCACACAATGTTCTTAAGTCATGGCCATTAAAACTAGTATGTCTCCCCGATTCATATATACTTAATGTATAACTATTTGGGAGTATGAACCTAAAATGTAGGGTATACACCAGTAAACTGTATGGTTCACCTATGATTAAAGCTTAAATGGTGAACTAAAAATAGCGGACTAAACGTGCTTAACTTCAGGCACTACCGCAACTAAAGTTTATGCATAAGTCCAACTTAAATAGGAACTAATATAATTCCATCTCAAAGTATGCATTGCTAAAGGCATAATAAAATTGCATAATTTAAAACATAATATTATGCGGTGGACAAATATGCATAAAATTAAGCATTAAACTCATATATTACAAATAAATTGCATAACTTAAAGCAATTTACAATATGAGATTTCAAAGTATAAACTTAATATTCAAACACATATGAGTCCAAACCAAAAGAAACCCAACATTTTGAATAATAATGTACTGAATATATACTTTAAAATTTTTTTAAACTGTAAGCCCATGGGAAAATGTTTTAATGCATAAAGATCAAATTTATGAGAAATAACTGAATTTACAAATTCAAATAATATCAAACCAAAAGGATATGCTATCATTTGTAAATTAAAATCTCATGAACCCTAATTGCATAATTAAACTTAATATTATGCACTTAATGTGATCGAATGCATAAAACATTCTAAAGAGTATGAACCAACTAAAGAATATGAATTTAAACAAAATATTCATTTATTCATACTTAACCAAATATGGACAGTCATAATTCAAAGAACTAAATGAATTATGGAATTAATGGCAAAAGTCAAATGCCTAGAAAATATGTTTTTCCAACATTACTTAATTGACTCAAAATCACTCTCCATAACTCAGTTAATAATAATAATATTATTATTAATGGCAAAATTG